GAAAGCTTTTTCGTGAATAAGTTCTCGGGCATAATCGGGTCAGGAGACTCATACCGAAGGCCAAGAAAATCTCGAAAATATTCAACAAAAATATTAGGAACATCATCACCATGAACAAATTCACCAGTACTAGTGCATACCGATTGAATGGAATTGGAATGATGCCGTTCTTTAATCACATGATGGAAGAATTTTGTATTCAAATCCCCCTCATTCAACCACTTAACTTTTGCCTGTTGCTTAGCAGCACACTCCGCATCCCAACAAGCATTTTGGCAAGCAATACGAAGATGACCAAGTTCCAACCCCAACTCAGCATTACAGGGATTTTTATCAAAATCCAGTTGAACACGGTCTAACTCAATTTTTAGAAAAGAAACCCTCTTGCCAAGATTACCAAAAGTATTACGAAGCCTACGTAGCGGGACCTTTAGAGCCTTTAAATGGGAAGTTACCTTAAACATAAAAGTCCCCTCAACATAATTAGACCATTCCTCCTTAACAATCTTCAAGAAATCCGGGTGCTCAGCCATAAAATTATCAAATTTAAACCCATACCTCGTTTTCCGTAAACCGCCTTTAAAAGAAAGAACCACCGGTGAATGATCCGAAAGTCCAGCAGGATGGAAATGAACAGTAGCATCATGGAATTTAGAAGTGAATTCTGCATTAGCCATAGCCCTGTCAAGTTTTTGCATGATTCCCCCTTCAGAATTTGGCTTTTGATTCCAAGAGAAATGAACACCAGTATATTGCATATCAAAAATTTCGACATCCTCCATACACGCAAAAAAATCAGACATATCAATATTACGGCCTGAAGACCCTCCAAACCCATCATGCGGAAACAACATGGAGTTGAAATCTCCCATTACTATCCATGGATTGGAACCAATCAAGACTTTAAATTTCCTTAACCCCGACCACAAGTCTCTTCGAGGAGTACATGCATTTGCACCATAGACCAAAGACAGAAAGAAARCATCTTGACCACCTCTTAARAAAACTTTACARTTCAGGAATTGATTCTGAAYCTCCATAGCCATTACATCTAAACTACGGGAATTCCAAGCAAGGATGATACGTGTACCCGACACACACACAGTTTGATTAGAAATCCAAGCCCACCGACCAAAAAGCTTGGCACACACACTTTCAAGAGAGTCCTTAGACACATGAGACTCAATAATTGCACACAAACTAAGATCATTACAATGAATAAAAGTCTTTACCTCATTTTGCTTTATCGGAGAATTGAGTCCCCGGATATTCCAAGTTGCAAATTTTAGCATGATGAAGAGGCCTGGTCAAATCCTTGCTCCCTCTTGTTCATATTCAAAGTGTTCGCAACAGGATCTTTATCCATGATTACTTGGTGATCAACAAGATTTTACTCTTCATCTAACTGCTCCAGAACTCCATATTTGTTGGGCGCTACCACAGGGTCTAACAAAACCCCCCTTTTGGCATCCGAAAGTTTTTGACCACAGAATCAATAAGAGGGGTGGGAGTAGACCGAGGATGGGACGAAGAGTTTATGGAATGAGAAGAAGAAGACCCAGAACCAACATTACCTGTGTCTTTTGAAGTATTCTTCATAATCGCACTTGTTGGAGCAACGTCATTAGTACTTATTCTTTATTTCCAACTGACCCGCATTTGAGGTGCTTTCTCCCACATCCACCGGACGAACCAGATTTGTGGCGATCTCAGGTTCTTTACCTTTGGCCTTATTTCCAATTTTCGGTCGCCAATGCTTTTTCTCCACTCTGATAAATCCATCAGCGTCTTTCCTCCCATGAACTTGCTTACCCTTTTTCATACCAGGAGCTTTAACACAAGTAGAAATTTTATGACCAAAAACCTGACAATGTGAACATTGGATCGGTTCCCAAATGTATTCAACTTGGATTTTCACTTGTTCAGCATCACCACCATTGAGATTCGGAATTTCAACATCAATATACCTTTTCAACTCTCCCACTGACCAAACCTCAACTAAGACCTTAGCAAAACCCGGCCGTCCCCAAGCTTTTTCACACATGGATGCAGTACAAGCATCCATATGTTTCGGTACTCCCAAAACAGTTGCAATGCGACTAACACCCTCCTTGTTAAAAGCAACCAACGGAATATTATGTAATTTCACCCATAGGGGACAAGAAGTGTGTTCCGGTTTCCTTAACCCCTTAGAGGGATCCCAACGATAAACAAAAAGAGGAATACCGCGTATCATTAACGACCCAGCTTCAATAGCCTGGTCACACTCTCCAACATCATTAAATTTAAAAAGAAAATCCCATTCTCATTTAACATTGCGTCATTAAAACCATATTTTCCCCAAGCCATCGAACAAATTTTTTTACGATAGGGAACGGAATACGAGGGCCCAGAAAATATCCATACAGAAYCGTATTATAAGCTTTAGCAGCCTCCTTAGCCCTTTCAATTGGAATTTTCACACTAACATCCTTTTTATCAGGCAACGGATAAAATTGGAGATCCATGGCTACCGAATTACCCACCGCTTTCACAAAGTTTAATTTCTCCGTACCATCACCTTGAGAAGTAAGCCTTTCAAAAACGGAGATTCTGATATGATCATTAGTAGTAGGGGCTGAATTCTCACCCATTTCTTCACACACACTAAGAAGCCGAGGTGCTGAAACTAACGTTTAGCGCCCTTAATAAGATAGACGAAGACCACGGAGACCGAGGTGCTGAATATCTATCAAGGGAATTCAACGCAAGTGACGAAGACCCCGGAAACACTTAGGATGTACGAATGAAAATGAAAAGATAAGAACTACTCCAAAAGAACCAAGAAGAAATCTCAAACCATTTATTGCGCTTTATAAATTTGCCGATATTTTCCTTCAAAAAAAAAAAAGAAATCTCAAACCAAAACCCAAAATAGCCACGATCAAAAACAGCAAAACGACAAGCAGCAGAATCGTAAAGCACAAACAGCAGCAGCAAGATGAAAGAACCGAGCCGAAGCAGTGCCAACAGTAAACTAAACACTAGCAGCAAACCAGATTGATAACGGGATGCCTACGAACCCAGAACGAAGTGCAGCAGCAGTCACAAACCAGAAAACAGCCAATGACAGCAACTATGCAGAGCAGCAGATCACAAAAATAATGAAGTTTACCAGCCCAAAAACAAATCAATCTTCTGCCTTATACGATGAAACCAACAGAAGCCAAACCAAACAAAAACCAAACAATGCTTGCAGCCCAAATGACCCACACAGCAGCACACCACAAGAATAAAGATCACAGGAAATTCAACAATCAATAAATCCTTCTGCCACTGTTCTAAACCCGCATAATGAAGCACATAAAATCATAAATCAACAACAGCCACTTAGAAAGCACGTGAACCACACAGCGGCATAATAGAATAACCCAAACCCTAGGGAACAGCGCAGCCCACTAACAACTTAAGTGGATATCAAGGCGCTACCCTAAGCGACAACAGCAGGCGGGAAAAGAATGAACCCTAAACCGCCTACCAAAGCCAAAACTAGACCTACAAAACGGTAAAGAAAACCCTAAAACCGCCCTAAATCCAACCAGCAGAATCCAACCAGCCAGAGAAGAGAACGAACCTACCACCACAGAAAAACAAACAGCGAAGACAAGAACCTGATGTTGAGATAGCCGTGATGAAACCCTAAACCAGATTTCGTAGATTCTCCGCCTTCACCAATGTGTAGCAAGCGTAAAACAAAGAAAGCATCCAAAAAACGCAACCAAAGACAGCCCCAATCAACACATTCACACAGCTTTGATCAAGAAACATCAAAACCCTAACTCAAGATCGCCATCAGACCTTAGTGGACATAATTGCCCTATTTCTCCTTAAGAAATCCAATTGAGTCAACATGACTCAAACTAGGTCATAAATTAGTCTTTGTAGACCCAAATAGGATTAATGAGCACAATTATCCACAAGAAGTCTAATCAGTCAGACTGTTTGTTTTTACGTCTGAAATTTGAAATCTGAATCAGTCAGACTGTTTGTTTTTACGTCTGAGGTCTAAAATATGAATTAATAAGACTGTTTGTTTTTGTAAACTGACAAACTTCTGAAATCTGAAATCTGAATCAATTCATTTCAATTAAATTTAACTGAAATATCCACTCATTTAAACCATTTGTGTACTACCATATATTTTTAACACATTCAAAAATTCAATTGAAATACGTCAATTGATTCAACATACAATAGAAAACACGAATAAAGTAGCATAACAACTAGAATCAATATTCATTTTGCATTAATTGTGTCGCAATTTCTTCTCTTAAACTAGCCATATATGTTTGGTCACTGGCACTCCGATGCGATTGAATCACTTCAGCCTAATCATTCTCATCGTCCCCTTGTTCGTTGGTTTGATCATACTCATAAAATAACTCATCACTTAAACCTTCCTTCCATATGAAGTTGTGAACCACAAAACATGCAATAACAACGTCTCTTTGAACCCAAGTGTAAATGGTGCCATTTTTTTCAATATTGGAAAACATGCTTTCAGGATGCCATAAGAATGTTCAATAACATTTCTAAGTTTTGCATGCAATACTTTCCCTTTATGACAAACCATTTTCCCCTTCTCAATAACATCTAAATTATTACTTCTAATAGGAATAATATCTCTAATTCATCATGTCACAAATAAATGATGACTCAAAGTTATTAAATCCGATTAGTAATAATAATAAGTTATAATACTAACCACATATGACAATGCCTCCCTTATTCCAAGTACACCGCTCCTTGATATGCCACCCTTATTCCTCCATCAAAACAGGGCTACTTATCAGAACATACAAAACTCACCACGTCTGAAAGTACCCATTCCCAGTTCCAAGCCAGAACAGACAAAAGTCACCATGTCTAGGGGAACTACCTCTTAAAATAAGTTTCATACCAAAACAGACTTATGTCACCACGCTTGGTAGAAACAGTTTACAAAAAATCCAATTCCATACCAAAACAGACTTACGTCACCACGTTTGGTAGGAAGGTTTCCCAAAATAGAATTTCATACCAAAACAGACTTATGTCACTATGCTTGGTAGAAATATATCTTTTTATTTAAAAAGATATAAAATACCCCTTTTATAAATCCATACTCGAACCCAATAATAGACATTTTAAATTAAATGTCTAGAATATTCAATATTTTGAAAATTAACACATATAAATCACCCGGATAAGTTATCCGGATTATAATCCGAACACACTATCCCTTCTTGTCCGATATACTAATCCGAACAAGACTTGGTCGAGTTATGACTAAATCGCATGATTCATGTCCGGTTTAAGGCAATCCGGACAACACATGATTGGTTAAAGACTAAACCGCTCAATACGTGATCGATTTATAACTAATCCGTACGACCCTTAGGCGATTTAAGGCTAAACTGCACAATGCTTGGTCGTATTCATACTTCTCCGTTCAAAAACCTTTGTCCGATTTATATAGTTCAATTTCTCACCAACACCCTAATTCGCATAACACTTGAACGATTTATAATTAAATCGGTCACCTCTTATTCGGTTTTAAGAGTAATTCGGACAAGCTTTGTCCGGATTAGACTTAATCCGGTCACCCCTAGTCCGAATAAAACCTCAATCGGATAACTGATTTCTTCCAATAATAAGCAACATTCAAATGAAACCAATAACAAATTTTATACAAAAAGGGTTAAGAAATCACTCACCTTTTATACAAAAACTCTGATTTTGAAGAAGATGAAAACCAATTGATTCTACTGGATCTCCGGATAACTTTCCTCTTAAAATTTTCTAAAATCTCAAAGAGGCAAGAAAAAGCATGTTTCCCCCAAACCACTGTTATAACCAGGTTTTAGACAACCTGGGTTGAGGTAATTTATACATGTTTATTATGTGGATTACGTGAAATATGCATGTCTAATTAGAAACGCATGAACTATATATGTGAAATGTGAACATGATATTGTGCATGTATATATTTGAAAAGATGGCATGATGTATATGTGATTTATACATGAATGCATGTGGGTGAAGCATACATGAGGTGGTGGATATATGTGATAAGATATCCTGGTGGGAAACATTATTATAATATTTAAAAACTTATATCTTAATGGTTAAGAAATCATGAATTTTAAACTTACCGCCTAAATTACCTTTACTGAAAGGGGAATATCCCCAGGCATATTTATAAAGACAATAAAAGCAGGACCGTTACAAGCAAATCAACAAGAAAAACTACGACAACTTTGACTTATAAACCAAGCCATAAGAAGCCAAAAATGACAAAGAGAAGTACACCAAAGCATAAAAATAACATAAGCCAAAGAACAAACGGCAAAACACACCCACAAACGCCCAAATCGAGAAACCATACCACCCACACAATCACCTAGCATTAGTAATCTTCAGCTTCTTCCTAGTCTTCCAAGCCATACGTTGAAGAATCTGCATCTTGATCTCCGCAACAACTTTGTCCCCTGTATGATTGAAGTTATCAAAGAACTTCCTGTTTCTTTCCCTCCATATGTGGTAAACCGTGGCCGATATACCAAGTTTTTGAACAGTAGACCAAGATTTCCATCGATGAGCTAAACCTCTGTTAAGAATATCCTCCCAATTGTTCAAACAGTTCGTTAACCCTACTTTCTTTTTAATGACTTCCCAAATGCTACTTGAGTAATTGCATTCGAAAAATAAGTGATTGTGCGTTTCAATCACTGATTTACAGAACATACATTTCAAATCTGGCGGTTCATGCTTCCACTGACTGATACGATCTTGAGTTGGTAATTTATTCTGACAAGCCATCCACATGCAAAGAGCATGTTTAGGAATGTATGCTTTATTCCATACCAGCTTATACCAATGCACAATCGGCCTCACTTCTTGAATAGTTTGCCATGCCACTTTGACCTCAAAATTTCCCCTAGAAAGTTTAGCATCAAGCCATCTAAATGTATCCTCCATTTGGCTGGGAGAAGGTATTATAATACTTTGCAGCTGAGGGTATTGTTGAATCCAATCCACCGGCCAATTAGTGCCAAAACGTTGCATTACATCAGAAACCATTGAGTTATTGCAAAAGCCATGACCATTTATGAATCTATAAGACAGTAACTGAATAAGGGGCCCAAATTCACTCCACGTATCTTCCCAGGCATGTGTAGATAAACCATTTCCCACATTGTAGATAACAAATCTCCTGCAGTGAGAACGTAAGTCTAATAGGCTCCGGAGAATCCACGACCATTCATTCCTCTTCTTTATAACCCAAAAGTTTCGGCTCCGAATACAATGAGACTGAATCCAAGAGACCCACATGGTATTTCTGCGATTCAGGATATCCCAAATATGTTTTAATTTATTGGTTAAAGCCTTCACCGCCTAAGAGTTTTAATTTAATAAAACCATCATCACCTTTGTTAGAAAAATATATAAAGAAGGAAAAAGATAAGATCATACCTTATCTTGATTTTTGGAAGAAATGAGCCTTTTTGAGAAAAGAAAGTGTGTGTGACGGTGAAAGAGTTCTTGAGAAAGATTAATACACAAAAGTGATTTGAAGATCTGCTGTGTGTTTATAATCTGCAGAATCTGTGATTATTAAGGTAAGTTTTTGATGACTAAAACCTTTATATATTTTGTTATATAAACTGCTGGGTTTTTATATTGGTTTTGAAGAAAAGATGGTAAAACTATTTTGATAGTTTAAAGGTGTTATTGTTATATATTTGAGTATTAAAAACCGTTTTGGGAAAGATAAAGAAGAGATTGCTTCTTTAAAACAGTTTGGGAAATGATATCATGTTTTGAGGATTTAAAAGGGGTATGATGTTTTGGAAATCATTGGAAGAATAGATTATTTTTTAGTTTGAAGGGTTTTGATGATAAAACTTTTGGTTGAAAACTATAGAGAATATTCTTTTGAGAGGATTGTGATTTTGATCCGTCTTCATTTGGAATTAATCTATATATATTTTATGGAATAAACTATGAATGAGGATTCGATAAGATGGTTGTGACTGCGGTCCTTCATCCGAACTAGTTCATAGATTTTGAAGTAAAAATAAGGGGGCATATCAAGGAGAGGTGTCTTTTGGAATAAGGGTGGCATATCAAGGAGAGGTGTCTTTTGGAATAAGGATGGCATATCAAGGAGAGGTGTACCTTTGGATATAAAGGTGGCAATTGTGTGTGAATATTATAGCTTTTACTATTACATCTTTTAAGAATACAATAGATTTGAGTCCTTACTTCTTTGTGATTTGAGAACTCAAAGATATTGTTCTTATTAGAAATAATAGTATTGACGTTATTGAGAAGGGAAACTTGGCCTATGGCCATTGGTATTGGTTAAAAATGTTTTGGAACAGAATGTTCATTTTTACAAGGAACCAGAGGGGCTCTGGTTGGTCCTCATTATTAGACCAGAGGCTCTGTATCCATTGATAAGAGCTTCTATATCAAAATTATATTTTAGAGGTTTTTAAGAAAAAAAATTTATACTTAGAATCTCTTTTATGAAAAACAGACCAGAGAGGCTCTGGTTGACTTACATGTTGAACCAGAAGGCTCTGTTTGATCATGTCTTTTGAACTAGAAGTTCTGGTTAGTACAACCAGAGGCTCTGGTCGAGCATGAACTCTTCATAATTACTCTTTTTATGAAAAAGGCCATCTTATTAATTGAAAGATTAACTAAAGAACATTATAAGAAATTATATGAGCCAGAAGCTCTGGTTAGTACAACCAGAGGCTCTGATCGAGGAACTAGAAGCGCTGGAAGAGAGAGACTAGAGGGGCTCTGGTCCTAGTTATTGAAATATATTCCAAATGTGGTTTGGAACCAGAGGCCCGTTGGACCGAAATAGTATGATTTTTAGTTTTGCTACATGAGATGAATTATTTGAAATAAATGTTTTAGTGATCTTTACCCTGCATTACATAGAAAGGAACCTCACTAGACATTCATGTCTAACCCTTATTTTGTGTTTTAAAAAATATGTGTACAGGTAAAGATAATAAGGGAAAGAGCATTATGTGACTTGCTTCCCTATGTAATTAGCTGTGTGAATATCTTAATTAGTCATGTTTAGGAGTATAGATGCTAGGATACAAGAGCATGTACCTTGAAATTTTTGGGCTGTATATTTTAGTCTCTTGTATTATGGACCTACTGAAAGGGGAAAAGTTCCCCAGGCAATTTTATAAAGACAGAAAAATGTCACCAAATAAAGCAATCAGCAAGAGAAACTACGGCAACTTTGACTCACAAACCAAGTCATAAGAAGCCAAAAAAGACAAAGGGAAATACACCAAAACAAAATAACACCACCCGTCCAAAAACAAAAGGCAAGAAAGACCCAAAATACCCAAACCACAGAAGGATCGCCACCCACAGAGTCACATATCATTGGACTTCAAACACTTCTTTCTAGTCTTCCAAGCCATTCGATGAAGAATCTGCATCCTGATCACCGCAATAACTTTATCCTCCGAATGATGGAAATTGTCAAAGAACTTTCTGTTTCGTTCCCTCCAGATATTATAAATCGTAGCCGATAAACCAATTTTCTGAACCGTAGACCAGGAATTCCAAGTTTGAACAGATCCACTGTGAAGAATATCATCCCAAATGTTCGGAACAGACGTTAATCCCACCTCCAGTTTTATGCCTTCCCAAATATTGTTAGAGTAAGAGCATTCAAAAAATAAGTGATTGTGCGTTTCAATCACTGATTTACAGAACACACACTTTAAATCCGGAGGATCATGCTTCCATTGACTGATACGATCTTGGGTAGGCAATTTCTTCTGGCAAGCCATCCACATACAGAGAGCATGTTTGGGAATAAAAGCTTTGTTCCAAACTAGTTTCGACCAATGCACAACCGGATTCACTTCTCGTAGAGTTTCCCACGCCACTTTCACCTGAAAATCACCCCGAGCACCATTATTATCAAGCCAACGAACTTTATCCTCTCCTTGGCTGGGAGATGGAATAAGGACATTTTGCAGCTGAGGATAACGTTGAAGCCAATCCTCCGGCCAATTAGAACCAAACCTGTGCATTACATCAAAAACCATAGAGTTATTGTGGAAACCCTGCCCATTGATGAATCTATATGACAAAGAATGAATAAGTGGTCCCAACTCGCTCCAAGTATCTTCCCAAGCATGCGTCGATAAGCCATTACCCACATCATAAATAAAGAAACGGCGACAGTGAGGCCTTAAATCTAAGAGACTCCGAAAGATCCAAGACCACTCATTCCTCTTCTTGATAACCCAAAAGTTTTGGCCCCGAACACAGTGAGATTGAATCCAAGAGACCCACATCGTATTTCTGTTCCTTAAAATGTCCCAAATATGTTTGAAAAGTAGACATCTATTCCAGGTCGAAAGTCTTTTCAACCCAAGTCCCCCACTCTGAACAGGCAAGCAAATAGAATCCCAAGCAACATAACATTTACCCCTCTGTCCCTCCGCTTTACTCCATAAAAAGTCACGAAAAATCTTCTCAATTTCATGAATTGTGGCTGCCGGTACAAGAAATACCGACATCCAAAACGTTTGCATAGATTGGAGAACAGAGATAATAAGCTGACGACGGCCTCCATAAGAGAGAAATTTATTCTTCCAATTTAACAAACGAGATTTAATCTTTAACACAAGAGGGTTAAAATCTCGTACCTTCAGACGAACCGGAGAAAGAGGGACGCCCAAGTAACGAATAGGAAAAACTCCAGGCCGAAAAGATAAACTATCCCGAATACTGCGCTGAACCTCCATTGACACATTTCCAAAAAAACACCTCACTTTTCTCCAGACTTGGCGATAAGCCCGAGCGTTCTTCAAACAATTGTAGACCACGTTTGATAACCTCCACCGACATAATGTCTCCTCTTGAAAAGATAAATAAGTCATCAGCAAAGCACAAATGAGTCAATTTGATATCCGCACMACCTTGATGATACGAAAAAGTAACAACATCCTCGATACACTTAGAAAGAAGCATCGAGAGACCCTCCATCACAACTGTGAACAGATAAGGGGAGAGGGGATCACCTTGACGAAGGCCCCGTTTACCATGAAAAAAACCCTCCGGCTGTCCATTCACACAAATTGAATAAGTGGGTGTCGTGATCAAAGTCTTTATCCAGTTGATCATAACTGGGTGAAAACCCATTCCCTTCAGCATCTCCAAAAGAAAGTTCCATTCAACTGTGTCATAAGCCTTACGAATATCAATCTTGAAAGCACATCTAGGTTCCCCTTCCGCTCTCTGATACCCAGGACCCGGAGCTTTATCATTCCCAATAGCAAATAAGGCATCCTTAATTTCCAGATCAGAAATTGGACGAATTAAAAGAAGAGAGTCCGATAAAGATAAAGCATTACGAAACACACAATCCTCCATAGAAGAAGGAACCAAACTAGAAGAGGTACCAAGAATCYCTTTAAAATGAGAAATGAACGCCGTAGAAACTTCCTGATCCTCATAAAKKAYGCCAGCCGAGTCCCTGATCATAGCAATATGGTTCCGATTGCGCTTTTCTTTCATAGCATKAAAGAAGAATTTAGAATTACCATCACCTTCATTTAACCAAGAAATCTTCGCTTTTTGACGAGCTAAATCAACCTGATTACTCCGAGCCTCKTGATAAGCTAATAAGAGGTGGGCGATGTCCTCCTTCAGCAAATCATTAAACGGATCAAGATCACAAGCCAATTGCGCAATATCAAGCTCCGTCTTTAGTTGAACAACCCTCTTATCCAAACATCCAAAAGAATTACGGAGACGCCGACAAACCACCTTTATATCTTTTAATTTCCGTAAAACCCTTTTCATGTAAGAACCATGCTGAGGTTTCGACCAAACCTCCTCAACCGAAACTAGGAAGTCCTTATGAGAGGTGACAAAGTTGTCAAACTTAAAACCACGTTGTCATATACGTCTTCCAACACGAAAAGAAAGAATGCCCGGAGAATGATCAGAAATCCCTCTAGGTTCAAAAAAAGCCGAAGCATCCCCAAATCTAGAGAGAAAATTCGAATTGCCCAAGATACGATCAAGTTTTCGCATAACACCCTCTCCCCCYGMYGGTTTCTGGATCCAAGTATATTGACACCCTTGATAAGAAATATCAAATAATTCAGCCTCCTCCAGACATGTATGAAAATCCTCCATGTCAGAATTCCTCCGGGAGGATCCCCCTAACCCATCATGAGGGAAAAGCATCGAATTAAAGTCACCCATAGCAATCCAAGCTTTCCCCTGATTGAAGGCATGAAACTCCCCTAAAGCCCGCCAAAGGTCACGCCGTTCAGTACCCGTATTACAACCATAAACAAACATAAAAAATAGGGGCTCGGATTGACCAAAAATACGAACTTCACAATGAATAAATTGATGATGCTGCTCAATCATAAGAACAGATAAAACCGACGGGTCCCAAGCAATAATGAGGCGAGTACCTTGCTCACTGACCGAACCATTAGATATCCAAGTCCAATTACCAAATACACTACTACATACATCTCCCAATTGATTATAAACCACTTTTGACTCAATGAGGCAACATAAAGAAAGATGTTTGAGAGTAATAAAATCACGTACCTCCTTTCGTTTAATAAGGGCATTTAAGCCCCTAACATTCCAAGCGGCCAACTTTATCATTGAGACAAAGTTGGTGGATCAGCCCCTCCTCTTTTTTCCTTTAAATGCTCCTCCATATCAATGACCTCCATTTCATCATCATCAGAAAGAGAAGAAAACCGATTGCTAGTCTTCATATCAAGAACTTTACCCCTCCTTGGTTTAAAAGCTTGAACCACCTTTTTTACTAACTCCGGATTTCCTTTCAATACAGATTGACCAGTTGAGATATCCTCTCTTCCTCTTGGTGTACGTCCCGCATTTACCGTACAGAATTGTCCATCAACTGATCCTTTATCCAATCCCTCCTAAACCGTAGAAGCTGTAGAAGCCCCAGAGCAGGATACATGTTTGACATTTGTATCCTTCCCCGAGGGTTTTGAACTCTCCTGAACCCGTTTAACTACCCACCCCAGTTAAAGTTTCCTGTGTACCTGTTACCGCGCCAGATGATGTTGCCTGAGAATCTGTACGGGCTGATGTATCCTTTTTCCTCCACTGTTTCCGCCTAATCTCTGTGAACCCCCTTTTATCCGTGACTATGTCAGACCCACGTTTCTTGGCAATATCCCCTTTCATACATGACCCCGTTCGATGACCAAACACATTACAGGCTGAACAATGGATGGAACCCAATCATATTCTAAAACAACATTTATGATATCCTCTCCAGTACCCGATAGCCTTGGAATTACCACTTCTATAGTCCTCTGCATTTCCCCCACGACCCACACATCCACCAACACTTTAGCAAAGTTCGTACGACCCCATGCTCTATCACATGTGGAGGCAGTACATGCATCTAAACGCAACGGGACACCAATGGCGCTAGCAATGCGGCTAATACCCTCCTTATTGAAAGCTACTAGTGAAATATTAAAAAACTTCACCCATAATGGGCAAGACGTGTGCACAGGCTTCTGGAGCCCCTTTGAAGGATCCCATAAAGAAACAAACAGCGACCTCCCACGAATCATAAGGGGTGAAGCGTCAATAACTTGGTTACACCCACCCTCATCATTAAAGCGAAAAAAGAAGTACCCCATATCATTGACCATAGCATCTATTAGACCAAATTTTCCCCAAGCATTCTGAACTGCCCGTAGAACAATTTGGAAAGGAAGTCGGGGGCCAAGAAAGTAACCGTAAAGAACCGATTGAAAGGATTTGGCCATACCTTTAGTAACATCCAAGGGAAAACATATTCTCGGTTTAATACTCTTCTCAACAGGATAATACGTAAGATCCGATGAAGAAGAACCACCCACAATCTCGGCAAAGGATTTATTAGGCACCCCACGATGATCATCCGTAATCACTGGGGAGAGGCGATCCCAAACCGAAACCCTAGAAGATGAACCAGGAAACACTCCAACCTTCTTCGGATTAGAAACATCTATTTCATCCAGAATAACATCAGCAAAGTCCCGAGAAGAAACATTCTCTAAGATAACATCCGCAAAGTCCGGCATTCTTACCAAAGACCTAGTTTACCAGACCCTTTATCAAGAAGCCGTGGTGCTGAATCCCCTGTCAAGCAGACTCAAGAAAGTAGACGAAGACCTTTAAAAAAGGTGCTGAATACTTGATCAAGAAGCGTAACAAGAGGAGACGAAGACCACAGAAACACTTGATGCGAGAATAATAAACTAGATTAAGACACCAAAAACACCACCAAACACCCAAAACGGGAAACCGAACAGCAACGAAACAGCCGACAAGATAACCACGACGTGAAGACAGTCACATGCAAACCCTAGCCGTTTATAATGAAAACGGAATCCAGAAATGCAATCGGCAGTCCAATCACAAGCCAAACCAGCAGCAAACCACACTGAAGGAAGGAGAAAACACAACAGCAACAAAACAAGCAAACGAATAGAGAACAGCCCCTTAAAAAATCACGATTGCATGCAACCCTACAGCCCGAAAACCATGCAAACCCTAGCCACAGACAACAAACCACCGATAGCTCACCCAAACACCCAAGATCCAATACCAAACCAACAGAAACAGCACCAAAGAAACCAGCAGACAAAACAGCGCAAACCAAACCAAAACGGAAGCAAACCTGAAAAGGAAACCGCCGCCCTCAAAACTTCGCCGACAACGTCCAAACCCTAGCCGCCGTCTCCGTCAAAACTCACCAATGAACGTCTCCAAAACAGGCGAAACAGCAAACTAAGAACGACACACCAACAGCAGCAGATCTCGACGAAACCAGAAGCAACACCTAACCAAAGAACCACCGCCGGCAAAAAACGCAAAAGGACGGATGCCAACGAAAGCCACCAACGAACACGACCAAACCAGAAAACCTTGGAAAGCAATCGAACCACAAAACAGCAATCAAACAAAAGATCGAAACAGCAGCAGCAGCAGATCCGATGCAAGAAACCCTAGCCGAACACTCAAACTCTAGAGAGAAAAAGTCAACCGGTCAACCCATATCTAGATGGGCCATTAGACATTGTATTATGGACCTATATGGGAGAAGACATGTATTCTATGTATAATATATGTGTTATATGCATAGTATGGATTGGGGGTGTTACACCACCATATTTATACTTTCCAAGTTTGGAAAGTCAGCTAAACCAGCCAAACCTTCCATACATACATGCATATTAATGCATACACATACATATATACATACATATATATATATATACCCACATTATGCATGTATATAATACACATACTTACATATTTAAACCCATGTAAACATGTATTCACATAAACAATTAATTCACATAATAAATACCTTGGGTAATAACCTGGACCTGGTTATCATAGGTAGAATCAGATTAACTATGATCCATTTAGTGTAATTTTGACTCAAATGACTCGATTATAATAAATAGGTCCCTTATACCCAATAAGTGTAGATGGACCCGAACACCAAATGGTCCCATGGACCCAAGAAGTTGACCACGTTGACTTTTGCTCTTAAGATGGCGATCTTGAGTTAGGGTTTTGATGCTTGTTTGCGTTGATCATTAGAGTGTTTCGTGATCATTGTGGCTGGTTGATTTCGTTTGGATCTGTTCCCTTCTTCTTGATTGTGTATCGCTTTCGTAGAAGGAGGATTAGGGTTWTCACGAAACACTCACGAACGAGTTTTGCTGTTTTCGATCCGGCTGCATTCCCTAGGGTTCTGCTTGTTCGGGTTTTGTGGCTGCTTTGTTTACGATTGGATCTGCTTCAACTTACTTGTGTAACGCTACCGAAGGAGGAGGTTTTAGGGTTTCCGTGTTGTTGCTTCATTACGGCTGTTCTCTCTCTAGGGTTTCTGGTTTCCTCACGGTTTGTTCTTCTGTTGGTAAGCCCGTTCTTTTCTTGTTTAGCTATTGTGTTCTGCTGCGGCTAGGGTTTGCAGGTTTCGTCTACTGCTTCTGTCTTGACCGTCGTGTTTTAGGGTTCTGCATGCGATCTGTTTTTGATAACCCCGCTAGGGTTTTGACGCTGTTTGTTTGCGAATCCATTTGATTGTTGTGTTCTTCTCTAGTAACGTTGACTTTTCACGCCTGCTGTTTAAGTGGCTGTTGTTGACTTATGATTTTATGTGCTTCAATCTGCGGGTTTAGAACAGTGGCAGGAGGATTGTTGATTTTCCTGTAATCTTTATTCTTGTGGTGTGCTGCTGTGTGGGTCGTTTGGGCTCCAAGCTTTGTTTAGTTTTTGTTTGGTTTGGCTTCTGTTGGTTTCATCGTGTAAGGCAGAAGAATGATTTGTTTTGGGCTGGTAAAATTCATTATTTTATGTGATCTGCTGCTCTGCATAGTTGCTGTCACTGGCTGTTTTGGTTTGTGACTGCTGCTGCACTTCGTTCTGGGTTCGTAGGCATCCCGTTATCAATCTGGATTGCTGCTAGTGTTTAGTATCCTGTTGGCACTGATTTGGCTTGGTTCTTTCTTCTTGCTGCTGCTGTTTGTGCTTACGATTCTGCTGCATTTCGTTTTGCTGTTTTTGATCGTGGCTATCTTGGGTTTTGGTTTGAGATCTCTTCTTGGTTCTGTTGGTGTAGTTCTTCTCTTTTCATTTTCTTTCGTACATCCTAAGTGTTTCCGGGGTCTTCGTCACTTGCGTTGAATTCCCTTGATAGATATTCAGCACCTCGGTCTCCGTGGTCTTCGTCTATCTTATTAAGGGCACTAAACGTTAGTTTCAGCACCTTGGCTTCTTAGTGTGTG